GCTTAGAAAACATGATGATTTGCCACTCTCAAGTGGGCTTAAAACTCATAATTGATGAATTGTTCCAATCCAAATAACCCAACCTTCACCCACAGGCACTTAGGTAGGTATATCATATAAGCAAATAGCCTCATGGTAAGCATGCTATCATGGCAGTCACTCACACGCATGCAAGGATGCTAAAGCATAAAACTTACCGAGTACTCCAAGCCAAAACAGAAGCTATGTTAGAAATCCATGCATGATCCTAACTATGTAGAAATGTCTAATGCAACACATGCAAAATGCAACTAAGATAGGCTCGGCTATTCTAAGGATGGCATGTGAAATGCTACAACTAACACGTATTCAATTTGGAATTGAAATACAAATGCAGTTAGTATGATGCGCCGAACCCGGTGCGTTCAAGACAGATGAATGAATGCAAACATGCTATCATACTGTATGCTAATTAAAACATGCCCTAATCTAACCATCATAAGCTGGTAAATAAAAGGGAGAAAGACGTGGGATTGGAAGACATACATCACACACATGCACACTTATTACAATTGTGCCCTCGCTCGGAGGGTCCAAATGAATAATACAGTCCGAATAAATAACTACAGTTCGAAATGAATAATTAAATATTACAAACCCTAATTAATTAACGAATTAATCTAGGAAAGCAAATAAATCAGCATGCAAGCTCATGGACCGCCTCAGCTCTGTTCCGAATGATGAAAGATGCATGCTTGGGTTGCTTGGCGCGGAAATCCATTGCGATGCCCCGATTCGCCTCTGTTTGCAATTGTTTTCGGAATATTGCGCAACGTTCCAGAAGGCCGCTGATTTCTGATTTACTGCAACAGAGAGAAACAAAGGGACATGGCAAAGTACTTCACATATGTATACATGACTACTCTTCAGAGAGTGTAGTCCTCGATCCTCGTGCCACTAATCACGCATATCGATGCATAATGGCCGAGGAGCCGAATTGCACGACTCAATATGAGATGAATGCACATGAAAACACAACAAGACCTAAACTCCATCATGGGAAATCCGGAGTGTCGGCGACAGGGAATTGAGACACGTTCCGTCACTCGGAGTACGAAACGTCCCTCGTTTCCCGTGCTCGGGCTAACTCCTATCCCAAACACAATGCAAATGAGATGGCATACACAATGCGACTAACATACAACCTAGCATACGCAATGCTATGAAATGGCATACACAATGCTCGATGTAACATGGCATACACAATGCTCGATGCAACATGGCATACACAATGCTCTAACAGGCAACCTAGCATACGCAATGCTATGACTTGGAAAGGCATACACAATGCACGATGGACTTACGCCAACATGAGTGGACCTCAGCCACACTCACATCAGTAGCCGTAAGATGAAAATGAGACAACCGAAATGCGTGCACACATGTACGCAAACCGAGGACCTAACCTAAAGCGTTAAATGCGTAAACTTGCACCCCGATATATTGGGCCGTTTGAAATTCTTGAGAAAGTTAACACCGTTGCTTACAGACTCGCTTTGCCGCCAGACTTGAGCCAAGTCCACAGCATGTTCCATGTTTCAATGCTGAGAAAATATATCCGAGACCCACTGCATGTAATAGATTACTCCGGGGTTATAGTTAATGAAGACCTGGGCTACGAAGAGAAGCCGATGAGAATTGTCGACAGACAAGTGAGACAGTTGAGGAACAAGTCGATATCAATGGTGAAAATCGAATGGGAGAAGCATTATGGCGAGGAGGCCACATGGGAAAAAGAAGAAGAGATGAAAATCCGTTACCCAGAGTTATTCGTAGTTTTTTTTTTTCTTTTTTCGAAAGTTTTCTGAGATACCTGTAGGAACCCACATTTTATGTCTTCGTCATGTTCATGAGCATCGGTATGATTATAGCTTGTTAAGCTTGCATGTGTATGTTTGTGACTTGTTTCGCTTAAGCGAGTGAGATCCATGCCTTGTTTTGAAGCCTTGTGATTTGTCTAAGTGTTTTGTGCTTGTCTTGTTCCTTCCTTGATGTGAAACTTAGGTCATGCCTTGCCTGAGTTATGTTAGCCGATGTTATTTCAAGCCTAGGTTACGTTACACCTAGATCATTCCAAGCCGAGGTCATCCTCAGTCTAGAAGTATCTTGGAACCCCTTGTTGACCTCCGTCCTTGCCTTGACACATTAGCCGAGATTTTACCTTGCACCCAAGTGATCTCGTCCTGGAGTGGTATGACCTAGACCGAGGTGTGGCACTTCTAGGCCAAGATGTGGCACAGCTTAGTCAAGTGTTGTCCTACCTAGCCGAGGTCATTGTCACCTTAGTTACCGAAGTCCCTTTTTGTTAGCCGATGTCACCCCTTGCCGGAGTGCCATTCCGTGTAGCTTGTTAGAAACGCCTTGTTATTAGCCGATGCCATTGCCTCGTCAGAGAGCCCATACCGCTTTACTTGTTGAACACCCTTCCACCATGCTTTGTCTGGTCTGTCAGCCACCTTTTCAGGGGAAACCCAACCAGTCGCCGCCACGTGTCTCAGCAGAGGGTTAACCCCAGAACCGGGTAAAGAAAACTATCATTTGGAATCATAACCTTGCCTTGTAGAGAGAGAAACTCTAGGAGAAAGAAGGAGTTTTAGAGTGAGAAAGTAAATCTTCAAGCTTGATTCCTAGAGATTGAACCGTTAAATCCGTGTTCTAAGGTTAGATTCTTGATCTGCTCATGATGTTCTTTATGCTCATGTTATTGCATTGCATGATCGGATATGATTTGTAAGTCATGCATTGTTTTGGAGTTCGGTTTTAGAAAGAGAAAATGACATTCATGTGTTCTTCAACAAAAAGTCTTGTTTTGATCCGAAAGCTTACATAAAGAATCATGTTTTTGTGTTTATTTCCGCAAGAACTTCAAGTACGGGTACCCAGGTCCATGTTTTCAAACTCGTAGCATGAAAATCCCAGATTTTGTGATAACAGATTGTGATTGAACATTCATATTTTTTTTTCATGTTTTTGCACTCATGTTCTTCATGTTCATCAGCAGAGGGAAACCCAGAGTTCCAGACCTCTTTTCCTTGCATGTGGCCCTCGGGGACACACCTCGGCAAGGAGGTGTGGAACCTCGGCCTAGACCTGGTTAGTGCCCAGCGTGCTTTCCGAGATCATTTGCATACATAAGAGACTTGTTTGAAAGTGCATTCAATAGGCTTTGCCCTGTGTTTGTAGGACTTGGGCTTGTCTCGACCCCGACGTGTGAAGAACTATCTGAGTGGTATTTTTAATAAAGCTATGTTATACTGTTTTGATAAATCTTGCTTTGCTTTGTTTTGACGAAAGTATTTGTTAAGCATGAATGAATAGCTCTGTTTTGATGTATAGTATAAGCCTTGTTTTGATGTCATCCTTGAAAAGTCCCTCACACATGCGGGAATTGGGAGCAATTATGTCCACTTTTGTTACCTGTTTTTGACTCTCTGAAACTGTTAATGTGTTTATCTGATCCCTCTAAAATATTTGGAAGTGAATAAAAGGAGTCTGAACCTGATTCCACCAAGTCTGTGGGGCTGAAATCATGATTGAATCAGTGTTGTGAATTAGAGCTTAGTTGCAGCGGAGTATAATGCAACTGCACTCTTGTCTTGGGAATTTCATCACCCTCTTGTATTAAGTAGATGTAATAACATCCAAAGAACTTGAAAGGCCGGCAATGAACTTGATTTCCCTCTTGATTGTAAAGTATGCTATGTATTGTTTTGAAAGAAATCTTGGATATCAATCATGCAAAACCTTTATTTCTAATATCATTCACTGAGTATCCAAGCTCACCCTCTCTATATATATGTAGGTGATGAGCAAGAAGGCAATGAGGCCTAGACGTGTAGCCGATGTATTTTTGGGTGCATTGCCGACGTGTTTTGGATTAGCATTTTGTACCATCTTGAAGATTATGCTTCTTAGCATATATTTGATGTGCACTTGTATATGTCGGCTTGAGAAGCCTTTTGGTCAAGATGTATTTTGTATCTCATTCCCTTATTGTACCTAAGTTGTAAGACTTTATAAAAACGTATGTCATTTCATTGGACTTAAGCACGGCTCTCATGGACTATTTAGATTCAGTATATATATATATGTTGCTTCCGCACTTGTAAGCCCCATATTTTATACTCTGATTGTGTGTGATTCTTGTAAGTCGGCCTTCGGTAATCTCGGATTACTGGCCATCACGGCACCAAACTACTAGGGGCGGTTTGGGGGCGTGACAATACCCATCTTAGATTTCATTGAAATTTTAAGATTTGAGGTAAAGATTAGAGAAAAAGCAAAGAGAGAAAGTAGTGAAGATGTTGAGTGACTTTGATTTGTATTTCTCTTTCTCACTCACTACTAGTAGCTGTTAGGTAGTTGAAGTTTGAAAAATCAAACTGTACCATAGAAATAAAACAAAGCATGTCCTTCAAATCTGTGAGGAAGATAAACTCTTTGAAATCTGTTAAAAAAAATTGTTTGAAAAAACACTGGGTCAGGAAAAAAGAAAAACAAAAAAAAAAACAAAGCATGGTCTGTGTTGTTGTTGTTTTCGATTTTTTTTTTTTTTTAAAATATCAAAACGACTTCGTTTTCAATCCTTTAATATCAACCATTGGATCTTACTGTAGAGAGATCACTCTGGAGAAGAAACTCTAGAGGATTCTCACGCTAAATTTAAAATTATTGAAATTCAATACAAGCCATCACAATTAACTATTAATTTATTTTCTGAGTAACATATAAGGTCTCGTTTGGGAACAGACTAATTTAGTAATTTTTTGGGTATTTGACTAAAATATAAGCTAAAAACAATTAGTATGTTTGAAATGACTTTTTGACTTTTTACGAAAAGATATGTAAAAAGTAGAGAGAAAAGAGAATGTTTGACTTTTTAATATAAATTATTAATTTTTTAATTTTTTAAAGTAATTTTTTGACTTTTTTTAATTAAAAAAACAACTTGCCAAAACGAGGCGGAAGCATGACGGTGACATACATATAGTCGTTGGAGCAAACTGGTTTGCTTTCACCTCTCTCCATCTTTGATTTTTCAATATCCATTGTTGTTGCTCTGAACTTCCCAGTAATTCCAGTACTTGGTTGGATAAATCCAATCCAAAATGGGTAAGCTTAAATTCTTCTTCTTTCCGATGATGGCTCAAGGCCACATGATCCCAACTCTGGACATGGCTAAGCTCTTCTCTTCCCATGGCGTTGATGCCACCATAATCACCACCCCTCTCAACGCCCCTCACTTCACCAGATCAATCCAAAGAACCCATCACTCCTCAATCTCTGTCCTCACCATCAAATTCCCTGCTGCCGAGGCCGGCTTGCCCGAAGGTTGCGAGAGCATCGATCAAATCTCTTCCCCCGACATGGTTCCCATCTTCTTCAGGGCCACCGACATGCTCCAAGACCCGCTCGAGCGACTCCTCCAAGACTCCCGGCCCGATTGCCTCGTCGCAGACATGTTCTTCCCCTGGGCCAGTCATGTCGCAGCCAAGTTCAATATTCCAAGACTGGTTTTCCATGGGACTAGCTTCTTCGCCATGTGCGCTTTGCAGACTCTGAGGCTTTACAAGCCTCAGAGGACTGTGTCGTCCGACGATGAACCCTTTGTTTTGCCTAATCTTCCTCACAAAATAATGTTAACTAGATTGCAGCTGCCCGAGAATGATCGACACGGTACAGAGACGGATTGGACGAGGTTTCTGAGGAAAGCGGAAGAGGCAGAGCTATCAAGCTATGGAATTGTAGTCAACAGTTTCTACGAGCTCGAACCGGACTATGCCGATCATTACAGGAACGTCTTGGGAAGAAAAGCCTGGCATATTGGCCCTGTTTCGCTATTCAATCGGGAGGTAGAAGACAAAGCACATAGAGGTAAAGAATCAGCGATTGAGGAACTCGAGTGCTTGAAATGGCTCGATTCCAAGAAACCCAATTCTGTGATTTATGTATGTTTTGGTAGTATGACCGATTTTACTGTTTCTCAGTTGTATGAGATTGCGATGGGGGTTGAAGCTTCCGGGCAACAATTCATCTGGGTTGTGAGGAAAGGCAAGAACGAAGATGAAGAAAACGATGAGAAGTGGTTGCCAGAGGGGTTTGAGGAGAGAATTAAGGACAAGGGACTAATCATAAGGGGTTGGGCACCACAAGTTTTGATTCTTGATCATGAATCGATTGGGGGTTTTGTGACTCACTGCGGGTGGAATTCGATCCTGGAAGGTGTTTGTGCCGGTGTCCCAATGGTAACTTGGCCGGTTTTTGCCGAGCAATTCTATAATGAGAAGTTGGTGACTGAGATTTTGAGAATTGGGATTGGTGTTGGTGCTCGGCAATGGCAGATGAGAGTAGGAAGTGACTGTATCAAGAGAGAAGCGATAGCAGAGGCGGTGAAGCGGGTTATGGAAGCAGGGGAAGAGGCAGAGGGAATAAGAAGCCGAGCCAGGGCACTTAAAGATATGGCGAAGAAGGCTGTTGAGGAAGGTGGATCGTCTTACGCTGATCTGAAAACTCTAATACAAGAATTGAGTTCATAATCGTGCTAAAAAGGTACTCAAACAAAACCAGATTGGCTTTGGATGAAACGTGTGATTTGTATTTGTTGTTCTTGTTATAGTTTTTGTCAACCGTGTTGTTAAATTGTTAGGTTATGAATTTAACCAAGAAATTTGTTTGTCTAGTTCTAATGGTAAAAAGGCTCCAACTACAAAGCAGTCAAATCGAGAGATGAGAAAAGAAAATAAATTATTATGATTTATCGCATTTTTATTTAGTTTCTCATCATTACTTATTTTATTAATCATTTAACTAAGTGATAAAAAAAATCATTCTCTCTGTATCTTTTCTGTTTTTACCAAACCTCACAATCTAAACGGAGCGTAAATTTTCAGAATATGCTGCAACTGTTTGAAAAGATTAATCAAGCTTGACCCTTTAGCTATGAAGTACTAATACTTCAAATAAGGTGACGTATCCGTATCAGATATCGATATTCTTGAAATATTTGTGGATACATATCAGATACTTCTTAATTATTTTTTCATTAATTTTGGAGTATCGAATACTTAATTTTAAAGTATCAGATACTCCAAATCATGTTTACTTGTTTTATGAAATTAGAATTGTAGCATTTCTTGCATAGTTATATAATATAATATAATATAATTACAAGTATAAATATAAGAATATTTTTTTAATACTTTATTAAATTCTTCGATAAAAAAAGCATAGTGAGTTAAATAATAGAATTTATCAAATTGAAATATCCTAATTATTTCATGCATGTCCCTTATAACTACATAAAAAGTAAGAATTAACAAAAGAATATAATAATGGTAAAATTAAATATCAATAAATAAATAAGTAAGTAAATTTAAATATAATATTTTTTACTAGTGTCAAAGGAAAAAGCATATGGACAAGTTGTGAATTGTTCTATTATTGTAATATAAATATATTAAACTTGATATTGAAATGAAATATTTGCAAGATCTATTAAAAATTTAAAAAGTAAACAAGCTACTAGCTTAAATTAATACAAAATTCTTAAAGATTAGTATTTTGTATTATAAAATTACATTGTGATTTCTCAACATTCTTTATCTTATGTGTAACTCACTATTAATAATTTTTAAAAATATATATTTTTCACAAACGTATCCTAGTCATACCGGTATTTTATTTTTTTAAGTTTTGTCGTATCGCCGTATCCGTATCGTGTCGTATCTGTATCTCGTATCCATATCTATGCTTCCTAGCCCTTTAGCAATAAATAAAAAAAATTCTTAATGCTACTTAGGCCTAAGAATTAGACTCATATTTTAAATTCAATGATGCAACAGTCTATTATAATTTCTAAAACAACTCTTTGTCTTGTCTTCTCTAATTATCAACAAATTATTTTCCTTACACATTATTAAATTTAGACAATAGATCTAAAAAAATAAACTTCCGTATCATTTTTAACAAAATAAAGGTTAAGGACGGGTGAGGAAGGTGCCTTGGTCCTAAATTTTTGTTTAAAAAAGGGCTTTGGTGTGGGAGACCTTTCAGGTTTCGTTGGTGACAGAACTTGTTAGACTTTCTTGTAAAAAGAATAAGTTTATTCATTAATAACAAATATCAAATTATAATAAAAATATCTCAAGTATTACTCTCTAAACAAATTTAACAAAAATAATCACCAAAAAAATTATTTTAAAATTTTCAAAAATATTTTGACCCAAAAAGAAAAAATAATATAACAATAATGAGTGTTTTTTGTTTTATTAATTGTTTTTCACTAAAGAAGATTTTGAAAAAATATTTAAAAAACAAATTATGAAAACTCAACTAGATAGAGAGTTTGGATTGGTCATGGTGCAATGGTAATATCGGTCCAAGTGTAAGGCCATTGAAACTATTGACTTGAGCCCTAACTTGAAGAAGGCCCCATTTTGTGTATGGTTCACATAATATATATATATATATATTTGTTTTAGTTTTGTTAGTGAGTGTTATAAAAATATCGGTAATAAAATTTACAATAATTACATATTTTTAATGACACATACTTCAATGAATAATACATAACCATTCTAAACTTCGTAATAAGTATCTTAACTTTTAAGGTTACTGTTAAATAGAATTCACAGTTTTTTAAAGCTTGTTTTTGTAAATATTAAATTTTTGCATTGTCACAATCTTAATTGTTTTTTTGTTTTTTTTACATTAAATTCACTACCGATTTTGGAAAAAATATTATCTTAATTTTGAAATTTTATTGAAACATGATAACTTTTACAATGTTAATGGTTCTAATTTTTTTCTGAGTTAAATATTTTGAAAGATTTATACAGATAGAAGGAAAGAAAAATACACCAATTGAATACTAAATTATATATATATTAAATAATGATATTATAATTACTATATGCAATTTATCATATGATTTGGTCATCATTATATTACAAATCAGTGCATGTGACTAAAAATAATTATACTAAATAATATATATATATATATATCTTAAATTAATTTTTTTTTAAATGAAGGTATTGCTTACAAATTATTATGAACAAAGCCTATAGCCATTGCTTTTACAAAACAGAATACTTCAAAATTAAAATTGATAAAATATTAGTTATGATCAACTATGTTACAAAAACGATTAAGGGTATTTCCAATTTATCAATTCAAATTGAAAATAATATGGTATAAGACTTGATTAGAAAGTTTAATTAATAATTTTGCATAAAAAAAATAATAATAACTTTTTGATGAAACTAAAATATTAATTTATTTATTTTTAGATTCGTAGGAAATTAGAAGGACAGAAGTTTGAGATTACAACAAAAGAAATAAACTAGGGAGCTAATCTCTCTCATAGCTAACTCCAATCATATATGCTATGACTAGAGCTCTAACACTCACGGGTGAGTCCTTAAGAACTACTACATGCTCATCCTAATCTACCCCTAAAGTTGCAAGTTTATCTGCACATTTATTCCCTTCTCTCAAAGTGTGCTTAAGAGTGCTCTTGCTCCTAGTTAGCAGGAATTTGGTGTCTTCAATCAGTGCTTTGTAGGGGGAGTTGTGGCTTGCTCCATTCTGAATTTGGTTTATGGCCATTTCAGAGTCTGATTCAATCTCCACCTTCATGGTGCCTTTCTGGGAGAGGATGGTTAGCCCTTTATAAATTGCCTATAGCTCTATTTATAGGCTTGTGCTGTTGCCTAGCTTGCCATATCCAAATTCTAGTTTCATTTTCTCTTGAGCATCCATCAGTATTGAGTTTGCGCTTACCTGCATTGGGAAAACTCTAGCTAATTAATCTAGTTTAACTGTGATTAGAGTGTAAGGGAAACTGAAAAGCTTCTTGGATCTCATTAGCATAGTCCAAGATGCTTTTTTAACTCCCTTGAATGGGTTGAATGATATTTTCAAAAACCATTTTGTTGCGATCTTTCCAAATTCGCCAAAGTGTTACAATGAAAACAAGGTTCCAATTTTTATTCAAAAATGTGTTTTTGTTTTTCATATTAGAAATAACCCATTCAGTAAGAGGTTTTCCAGTTCCATCCTCCCACAATTTTTCATTTTTAAGCATAACCCGTACTTCCTTTGCTTTCACACAACTCCTCAAGAGGTGATTCATATCCTCACTAAAAGTTCCACACTTGGGGCACAGGTCATTAGGAACAATATTTCTAGCAAGTCTCAAATGATTGGTTTGTAGTCTCTCTTGCAAGATCAGGCACATGAAGCTTCTAAGTTATTTAGGGGTTTTGATTTTCCATATCTAGGTCCAGTCAGTGCCATCTTTTTCTTGTTGAGCAATAATTTTGTAGGCATCTACAGTTGAGAATTTACCACTGCAAGATCCATTCCAATGAGGTGAGTCATTATAAGTGACATATCTTGGTCTGTGGGTTTTCATGATTTCCTATTTGTCATAGGGGTGAGGGCAGTTTTCCACAGAACTTAAGCCACAATTTCCCTCATCATCCAATATCTTACTGACAGTGTCACCCTCATTTATAGGATTGTTCCGTGGCTTAATTAGGGGTTGTTTGCCACACCACCACTCATTCCACGAGGACACTTGTTCCCCATTACCAACGGTCCGTTTCACTCGTTGTCTTAGAATGTCTTTGTACTTAACAATGTTTCTCTAAATATGAGAAGCTCTTCTTTTACTTGGCTAATCATAAATGATGTTTTTACTAAGTTTTTTAGCTTGAAGCACGATATATCAAAGTTTGCCCTTTTCACTAAGAATTTTCCAACCAAGTTTAGTCCACTGGGCAACTATGAAGCGCCGACACTTCAAAACAAGTGCCGTATCCATGTCGGACACACGGACACTTCAGGGACACGTGGACACTTCGTGGATACAACACTTGTTTTGAAGTGTCAGTGCTTCATAGTTGCCCAGTGGACTAAACTTGGTTGGAAAATTCTTAGTGAAAAGGACAAACCTTGATATATCGTGCTCCAAGCTAAAAAACCTAGTAAAAACATCATTTATGATTAGCCACGACTAGATCCATGGCTTCTCACCATAACGTTGCCGACCACCAAGCCGACCCCCCCAATCCAAACAACCCACCATAGTATTTCATCGAGCTTACCAACCGCATGGCCGAGCAAAACCAAGCTCTGATAAATGCTCTACTCCAAAGAAACCTTCTTATGCCTCCTCCACCACCTCCAGATATTCCCCCCAACCAAGAACAAGCCCCGAGCCATATTATCCTGCAACCTAATCCACCCAACATGGAAGGCTTACAACCTCCTCCCCCAAATATAAATCCACCACCTCGACATCCACATCCATTGGTCCCGGCACCAACCCCTGAAGGAGAGGCCAGTAGCGTCCAGCCCCTACTACCCTCCGATGGTGACAACATTCCTCTCTAGGATGCCGAACTCCGAGCCATGAAGCTCCAACTCCAAGGGGTCATGCAGAACATCCAGTATAAACCTTCTACCACAGCCAACTCGCCATTCGTTGCCTCCATCCGGGATAAACCTCTACCCCCCAAGTTTAAAATGCCCACCATCGACTCTTTTGACGGTGCGACGGACCCGGTCGACCACTTGGAGACCTACAGGACCCTCATGATCCTCCATGCTTTCACTGACGAAATCATGTGCCGGGCTTTTCCCGTGACACTCAAGGGGTCAGCTCGACTTTGGTTTAGTCAACTGCCAGCAGACTCTGTCTCCACTTTCCAGTACCTCAGTGACTCTTTCCTCGGCCATTTCATTGGAGCCCAGTGCCAACGGCGT